ACCAAAAAACTTTATAGAGTACAGCCAACCTAACAAACCCATGATATACAAACTTATCTCTATACATATATGTAGTAGTCACACACACGCTCACACATAGATATATTGATTTCCCTATACATCCATACTGACCATACATGTCTTTGTGTGAGTGTGTTTATGCAATTAGAACTGTCAAAACCTATTTAATTTGTTATGTCTTTTCCCACTTCGACATTGTGTGACATCAAACTTTTAATAACACTAAGCTCCAATTAGTACACGTTTAATAATTATCAAACCCATCATCCAAAAGTAAAACCATCCATCATTTCAAGGGTTAGTCTATGAGTTTTATTTTATTTTGTCAAAGGGTTTTCATTAGTCTATGAATTTTAGTATGCGTTTTCTTATAAAGTTATCTGGTTTCGATTTATATATATGTTTTTTAAATCTATAAATTATACTTTTTGCCATGGTATAGAACAAACAAATTTTTTTAGCATGCATACAAAAATAATTATAAGGAGTAAATAGAATCACAATACAATACTGGATATATGTATAGAAGTGGTCTCTCATCATTTATATAACGTTCAATTATGTTGAAAGTATTAATTAATTTCACCTTTTACCAAAAAAGAAAGAAAGTATTAATTATTATTAATTCGATCAAAATAAAACTACATACACCATATCAAGACATGACGTCTTTAGGATAATGCACCTATATACATGGCACATAAATAAGATGTACGTTTATATGCAAACAACCTATTACATCATAAACCATATTTAGAGGTGAAGCATGAAACAATAAAGTAAGCAAACTGGACATTATTTGAGTGTGGTCGAAGCCATTTATAAAGGTTTTAAATGATTAAAATAAAAGGGCATGATGATGTTACATCGTCAGGGGGAAAGAACATCAATTTCTAAGTAAACTAGTAAATTGAAGGTTAAAATTCAGACATCGACATATAGGATTGGAATTAGATTTTTTCAAAAGATAATCAATTTATAATCATTGTATATATATATTAAAAACAATATGATTCAACATATACACGATATGCGAAGCTGACCAACAAGATAAAGACATGAGAAAGACCATTTATTAAAGTGATCAAGTAATCAACTGAACAAAATTATTCAGTTATTAGATCACTGATATGAATAATAAGTACTTCGTAAATTTGGAGTTCTGATAGTAGAAATTGAGTGGTATATATATGACTTTTATTCTCTTACATAACCTACCATATACTCTGAATTGTTTTTCCCACCAAGCTATTAGATTATTTTCTGAAGTTACAATGTTGAACAAGGTATACACTTGGTTACATAATATATGTTTCTAATAAAAATCACGCATATATATATAAATCAGTATAATAATATGAAAATGTGGTGTTGTCAAATCTCCTTAACTTAAGCGTGAAAGTAGGAACATAGGCTATCTCTATCGCTAAACCTCAAAGAAGCTCTACATCAACTTGTTACTCATCCCATTAAGCTTGTCGCGATGATTTGTTTGATTAGCTAAGAAGAAAACCGTTTCTCTTCATTCCTGTAAACGAAAGTGACATAACCAACTTAAAATCTGTGATGTATTTTACAAGCGGTGATTATAATTGATTTTAATAAAATCGTTTGAACCGAAATAGTATGTTTAGACTAACTCTTAAATAATCATTCTAAGCGGTTTTTGTTTTTTTTAAAGAGGATGATTTTCATAATTTTATGACAGACTCATAAGTTATATATATATATATAGTTGAAGACTTGAAGTTTTGTTACTAATTCGAAGAAACTTTTGGTGACGATTTATTCAGAAATTTTGTGGCGACATTTGAATTTCTAGTACCTACACAAAATTTGTGAGGTGGCAATCTTTTATTTTCTTAGAGATTTATTCCTTTCTTTTGTAGTCCAACCAAGAAAATTCAAATTTCGTTTCTTATAATTTCAAGTATTTTAGAGAAAAAAAGAAACTAAAATCAAGAATATGAAAGGAAGAAGAAGTAGTCAATATTTGAGTATTCCAGTGAAAAAAGTGGTGACAAACACACATAATTTTCCAGACACATTTCCATGAAAGGAAATTGCGCAAATGAATGGTAATTTAAAAGAGCATTGACTCCCTTTGCTATATATAGAAAATGATTCGTTATCAACCTAAGATCCACACAACAACAAAATGATGACAAACCCATTATACAAAGTAAAAATAAATTTGTACTTTGAGAATGATGATAATGAGTGACTGAGATTTGTAACCAACAACATTGGGAATAGATAGATAATAGAACACATAATGAAAGCACTCAGGGGGAAAGCAAAATCAATGCCAACTTTTGTAAGGAAAAAAAAAAGATTGAAAGACTAACCAAAGATTGACACTTTAATTTTGAGTCTCACTAATAAACAACTTTAAAATGTTTCAAAAGAAACAAACCCAAAATTGTGATATGATATATGTTGTTGTCTTCTTCATGTATTATGAGAAAAAGAAGAATTGAAAGCAACCTTAGAAGAAGCCAGCAAGTCCATCCATTATAGTCATGCATGTGGTCCTCCTGGTAATGGCAGGCCTAGAGATAGAGATAGAGAGAGAGAAAGAAGAAAGAGCATGGGATGTGCTGGATAATTTGGTGGAGAAGGCGGCATGTATAAATGGAAAGAGTGGATAACAATGGATGACCAAAATAGGAGTTTTTATTTACAATGACAGTGTTTCATCTTTGCACGTAACTTCTAAGTTCGTGCTTTACCTGCGTATACATACGTGCATATATATATATATATATATATCTACGTAAATAGATGTGGATTATTGACTTTCATTTCTTGTGAGTTGTGAGTTACTTTTAAAAACATGCATCACATCACTTAAACCGCTGACAAGGTCAACATAATACTAACTACCTAATTAATAAACTCTTAACAACCGTTAACCGTATTAACTTCTAATATATGCTTTTAGGATATATTATTTTTCCCTATGCAGAAGCAGAGAGATATTTGTAAAATATGTTTTACATAAAAATACAAGGGAAAATAATGATACAAAAGCTTACAAGATAAGCACGAGAGAGAAAAGAGGTTCTCTTTTTAGCGAAAGCGACTTCGAAATTTCTAACATAAGTATGAGAGAGATAGTGTGTGAGAGAGTCAAAAGAAAATAAAAGATTGGTCGGTCATGCAAAACTGAACAGTGAGACTCAGAGAGGTAAAGCTTTTTTCTTTTCTTCCTAAATTAAATTATTACAGACTTATTTTCTTAGGGCTTCACACTGCCACGTGCATTCATCCAATTTGAAAATGAAACTTTGTATTATAACTCTCCAATAGCAAAATGATTATTTTCTCCATATCATGAAAACCAATGTCTTAGAGTAAGATGGATTTTGTGATATGAGACCAGAATTTTGCATCCGAGTTTTGATCTTGTTTTAAAGTTTTGTATCTCGGATGCAAATTTCTTCCAATAAAAAAATATATATATATAAATAAAAAATTTCTTCCAATGCTTTCGTCAGTTTTGCTATTTGAACTCAGTTGGATTCCAATAAGTCTACGAAAGATAAAGGAGCTACCCTTTTTCAAAAACTACCTGGTCTATTCTCGATTTAATTACTAAAATTTGTACAAGAGTAATGTTGCATAACAATTTAGAACAATCATATCTATTACTAAAATTAATTTTGAAAAATATATATTAAGCATGGTTATAAGTTGTTATAATAGTGTTTAAATTTATTTGATACCTCTATAATATATATATTTATAATATACTAATTAATTCATACTTTATATTTTAAAACACAATTTATTTATTTTCATAGATAATATTTGAAAAAAATATAAATGTATTTAAACTTAAAGTTGGTACCGAAAATGGAATTTTGAAAAATAAATATGAGTTGTATGGTTTTCTTGAGGGATCGCCATGGGACAAGTTTTAATTTAATATAAGATTTTTAATTATGAAAACAACAGATTAAAAGATTTGGACTTAAGCATGGAGGAGCTTTAATTGGAATAACAATATTTTTGTCCTAGGTAAATTTAAGCGCCTTTTTAAAGTTATATGTGAGTATATGATCTATAGTGATTGATTCTTTAATAGGTACCGGAAGAATCTTTTAGATGGAAATACAAACATTATTATCTGAACAATAGTTAGTGTAAATATTAGGTCATAAGAAATTCACTAAAATACTCTTTAAAAAAGATGAAAATAATTTTGTTTATAGTGTTTTCAGAAATACCACCAAAAAAGATTTATAATTTTATTTGATCTTAATTTTCTCTTACATTGGAATGCAAATAGATGTTTTTTAATATTTTAATTATATATTCTTTGTTCCTATTTCCTTTAACATAATCTAAAATCTTCTCATTTTCTTCTTTAGATCATTTTCCAAATACAGGCAGTACAAATAAAATTTATCCTAATTTCAGCATAATTTAGAATTTCATTAATTTATTTTATATTTATTATATCCAACTTTTAATTTTGATCTTCTTAATATGCAAACATACATTTATATGTCTATTTTATTGGGTAAAATTAAATCTCATTACCTTCTATTTCTTTCATTTTACTATACCTTGACCTTTATCTACTAAACTAATGTTAATAATATAATTAACTAAATTTTACATGTCATTTCAATAAGTTAAATAAAGATCTGTTTTTTGCTAAAAAAATAATAATAAAGATCTGTTTATTTAAATTGAAAGGTTAATGTAATTGGTAAGTATATGTTTTGTCAACAAACTGTAATATTAGTTATCCTATGAAATATATCATTGTGATAGCTAAAAAAAACTAAATTTATAACATATATTCTATAATAAACAGATACAGTGAAATATTTCATATTGAACTCTATTTTTAGGCATCATTTGATTCATGCTATTAATTTTAAAGATAAATACAATCTTTGATTAGTTGATATATAGCTGTCAACAATTTAATATCTATCAAAGACTTATACTGAGTTCTTATCTAAATATTAATTAGTAATGAACTATCTCAAAGAAATATAAGAACATAAACAAACACAAGGTCCTAACTATAGGAAAAAATCTTGATAATCAACTAAAACCAATATCTATGATCACAAAAACAAAAGGAATATATTATTTTTTCATGCCGAAGCTAGGAATTAGGAAAAATATATAAACAAAAGAAATGATTCGTCAAAAGCGTGTATGTTGTTCCTTCCCCCATAATGACCTCTTTGCCTCTCTCTCTCTCTCTCTCTCTCTCTCTCTATGGCTCTCCATCTCTCACTTTTTCTCTCTCTTTCTCTCCATTCTAGTTCATAGCACATAGACTCATTTAAATACATCGCCTGTGTTGTCTTTCTCAACCATTAGTCCTTTGCGTCAATAAAGGTATTCTCTCTCTCTACACATTTAGACACACACATAGATTCTCTAGAACAAAGACATATTGTACTATTTGACTAATCACTATTACTGTTATTTATTTTTTCTTCTATTTTCTTGATTTTGCAGGCTAAGGAAAAAAAGAAAACTCTCTTTCTTTTCTAGTTTTCATTTTGGCTGAGATCAATGTCTTCGTCATTAGAACAGTAATCTTTCTCTTTGATTTAAACTTTCTCTCATTTTCCTCTCTTTTTTTGTGTCTCTGAAGAAGATTATAGTACAAGTGTCATTCTCAAAATTTTGTCTTAGGGTTTTTTAATTTTTAATTTTGTTACTTCAAAACTCCCCTAAAAAGACATGAACAACAACACTTTCAGTACTCTTACCACCATCAATGACGACTACATGTTATTCCCTTATAATGACCATAATTCCTCACAGCCATTGCTCCCTTTTAGCCCTTCTTCTTCCATTAACGATATCTTGATTCACTCCACATCAAACAATCATCATCATCAATTCCTACAACCTTCTCCTTTTTCTCAATTCGAATTTGTCCCGGATTGTGCCCTCCTCACCACTTTCCACCCACAAAACAATGGCCATGATGATAACCAAACCATCCCCAACGACAATCATCATCCATCACTTCACTTTCCCTTGAATAACACCATTGGAGACCAGCCCGCTGAGCCCTCGGAAACTATAACCCACATAGAAGATTCCCAGAGAATCTCAGACCCAAAAATGAAAAAAGTCAAGAAACTAGGCAGAACGGACAGGCACAGCAAGATCAAAACGGCCAAAGGGACAAGAGATCGTAGGATGAGACTCTCGCTAGATGTCGCCAAAGAGTTGTTTGGCTTACAAGACATGCTTGGATTCGATAAAGCCAGCAAAACCGTTGAATGGTTGCTCACACAAGCGAAACCCGAGATAATAAAGATCGCCAAAACCCTTTCTTACCAATGCAGCTTCAGCAGCGGCGACGAGTCTCATACCCGTAAATATGCTCTCTTTTCTAGTTTTAATTTTATCTTTTATGAAAAGTTTTTTTTTTTTATCTTTACAAATGGTTAATCTAAAATTGTAAATTTCCAAATTAATTATAAGGACCGGAGTTAAGATCCATGGACACATCATCTGATCTATGTGAACTTCCATCAATGTGGACGGTCGACGATAGAGGCAGCAATACTAACACGACCGGTACGTACCTTAACCGTCGCCTTTCTATTTTTAAAATTGTATAGAGTTTCAAATTTTCTCTCAAAGTTATGAAAAAAAAGAGGAATATATGTTTACAAATTATATATTCATGGGTTTATATTAGAAACAAGAGGAAACAAGGTAGACGGTAGGTCAATGAGAGGGAAGAGAAAGAGGCCAGAACCGCGAACGCCCATTTTGAAGAAGTTGTCCAAGGACGAGAGAGCGAAAGCAAGAGAAAGAGCAAAGGATAGAACAATGGAGAAAATGATGATGAAGATGAAAGGAAGATCACAATTAGTTAAAGTTGTGGAAGAAGAAGCTCATCATCATGGTGAGATCATGAAGAATACTATTAGCGAAGTGAATCGGAATTCTTTTGAGATGTCACACTGCGAAGACGAGATCGAAAAACTTTGCAAGAACGATCGATTTGCAGTTTGCAACGAATTTGTCATGAATAAGAAAGATCACATTTCAAACGAATCTTATGACATAGTCAACTACAAATTGAACTCATCATTTCCAGTGATTAATCACCACCGCAGCCAAGGGGCAGCTAATTCCATTGAGGTACGAGTCACATTTATAATTTTTATGTTTTTTTCTAGTGGTTTTTAACTAAAGCTATACACAATTATTCAAGTTTTAGAGGCGGCTATATCAAATTAAATGACACTAATGCACCAACATTGATTAATTAATGTTATATATATAGTTTAATTAGGAGTTAGTTTTGTGTTTTGTGGGTTGGTTATTACTATCTAGTTCCACATCAGCGATTCGAAGGCGCCGTTTTTTCAACTGACTTATACTATTATGGTTTTTATTGTTCAAATTTTCATCGATTTTTTAATTAATTTTTTTGGGGACCTTGCAGCAGCATCAGTTTACGGATCTTCATAACTCCTTGGTGGCGAAACCAGACCTCATGTACAACTATCAAAACATGTATTGATAGTGATTAACCATTAATATCTCAAATTAATAATAGTTTGGTTAGAGATATATATTAATTAATCTTATGCATGTTTATATGAAGGCCTTTTCTTCATTTTAGTGTCAAATATTAAACCTATGTGAAAAAAATTAATGCATTTTGTATGATATTTTGTTTTCATAGTTCAAGTGGATTCTTAACTGATATGTTTAGCCTTTAAACGTTTTTTTGTTAATATTATATAGGGAGAATTTGTGCAGAGGTAAAAACAGAGTAAGTAATTTGCGAATCGGTAAATGTTTTTTTTTGTCTCAAACAATAGAAAAAACACGTAACAAGTGGCCCTCAATTTCTCAATAATAACGAAAAAACCATGTTGATTTTTTTGATATGCGCGTGACAGACGCTTTGACTTTTGGGAGAGAATAAAAACGAACTGACAGACATTAAATGCTCAACACGTGAACTGACTCTTACCAAACTAACAATAATTGTTTGTTTCTCGAATTAGAGCAATTTTAACACGCTACAAACATATATTACATGATTTTAATACTTATACACATGTAAACACATAAATAGAGCGTTAAAAGTTATTATAGTGTTAAGCTATTGGATCTATGTATATATGTAAATATATACATATACACATATATATAATAGAACGTTATTAACATTTATATACAAGTAAACACGTATATAGAGCGTTATTAACATTAAAATACATGTAAGCAAGTATATAGAACGAACGTTATTAGCAAGTAAAATACATTTATATACAAGTAAACACGTACATAGAGCGTTATTAACATTAAAATACATGTAAGCACGTATATAGAACGTTATTAATATTTATATACATATAAACACGTAGATAGAACGTTGTTAACATTTGTGTACATGCATGCACGCTACAAAACCACTCATATTCGTCTAGGAAGAAACAAAAAAAACTTCGTCGGTTTACTAAGCGCGTGAGGCTAAATATGGAAAGAGGATGGACTAATGTTAGAATTGTTTTAGACCCCGACAAGATTTTATCAAAAACTAATTTCATCCCAGATCTTTACTTGTGAGCTAATTATCTCTATTATATATCTCTGTGTTGAGTTTGTCTTTTTTTTTTTTTGTCAACTGGTTTTCTTATATTGATCTTTTGGGTTAAAACAGAACATTCTACAAATGTCCGCAAACTGGAAACAGGAACCAAAAAAAACTTCCACCTATACTTAAGCCATTTATATGAACATGGCCTATACAAAAAATGGAACTCCCAATAAGAGCCATCAACAGCGATCACACAGAGGATAAAACTCTCTCACTAGCAAAGACCTCATCTAGCCAAAAAGGATGACTAGAGGCAACATAGGAGCGAAGTCTATAGCCACCAGAAACACTTTGCGCGATGAGACGAGCTCCTCTATTCGCTTGCGAGCACACCACTGCTAATTTCCAGACCTGTAACCTTTCCAAAACCCTCTGCAACTCAACAGATTCCCATTTGAAAGATGGCCACGCTTTCGGACGCAAAACACAACCCACAAGGGTAGAATCCTCAATTTCCACAACTACCTTGGAAATGCCATGACTAATCAGGCTCTCTACTGCCCACAACACCGCCTGAAAGGAAGCAGAATCCTTATCCCTGATATTTGGAATGGCATTCCTACTGTGAAGCAGCACCAACCCTTGATAATTCCTCAAAACCCAAGAACAACCCAACAGAGGGTTTCTTTTAGACCAATCGGTACCTACATTACATTTTAGCCAGTTTGGTGGTGGAGGAGACCAAGCAGACCGGTCATTAACCTCGGGAAGAAATCCAGCACCATTCAAATCTGCAGACGGTCTATCACTTTGCTCCGCATCCACTATCTCAAGAATTTGAGCTGCAAACCATTCCTGGACATCATCATCGATCTTGCTAATCGTGTCACCTGCTAAAATCCACTGTCTATGTGTTGAGTTTGTCTATCGTTTGCTTTTAGGAATACAACAAATGACAAAAACAAAAGGAAACGTGACAAATTGATGAAAAAAATATATATAAGTAGGGATTCATGATTCAATATATTTTCAATCTCTATTTCTATATTCTTTTATGAGTCCTGGACGTCAATTCTAGTAATCAGGCAATTCAAAACTTTTCAAGGCTATTAACTTAAATGCGACAACATATCAGTTGATAAAAAAAAAAAAATGCGGCAATGTGATCTATGTATAAGTGGGTTAGCGTATACTGTATACAGACAAGTTTATATTTGTGTCATTTGTGTAAGTATATTATTTGGAAACTTTATCATTTTAAAATATATATTCTCATAAATTAATGATGTGAAGCTATTTGCTTTTTCCCTTAACCAATGATAACTTATTAACTTCTGCTCTGATAAATCAAAATGTCTTGGGAGTAGTAAGTTACTTCTATTGTGATAAGTTTGAGTTACTTAATTTGGAGAGTTTGGCTTACTCAGATTGGTATATTTATTATGTTCCCAAACTAGAATTTGCTACTGATCATGATATATATTATTAAAAAAACTGAATTTTATTCAGTATTTTTAGATAGATCCTAAAGGGTAAATTATGAACCTGATGATAGGTTGCACTAAGCTTGGTCTTTGTAGTTTGTATTCCACTTTTATGCTATAATAGAATATATATATATATATATATATATATATATATATATGTCCCTCACTATTTCATAGCCTCGAACAAGAAGACACTAATTTGATTTGATGCCTCTTCCAGATAAACTTATGACCTTGGGTGGTCGTTGTTGTTGTAGTCCGGCGTAGGAATGTTAAATCATCCAAAATTACACAACTGTGAGCTTCAGACCACACATACCGTTATATTCTACACTTGAAATATATATATATATTCATAAATATATATATATATATATATATATATATATATATATATATATTGTGTTAAAGTTAATTTGCATAATGTAAAGAGCAATTAAAAAAGGATTTGTGAAAATAAGACATTAAAATTTTAAGGCACTAAGCATATTTGCAATTCAAAAAAAAAAAGATTTTACTTTGGGATTATATAAAAGTCTTATTAGGATTTTATTATTAATATATTTTGTTATTGTGAAAAAATCTCTATTTTAATGATAAATTTTACAAAGAGCCTAGTTTCACAATTCTCTTATGAAAAGTACCTCTTTTGTAAAAATCTCATTATGTTTGTTTAATATTGGGATATCTATGGTTTTCTATATTAGCTTGTGTTGTGTACCTTGGTTCCCCACTTTTTCTTTGGTCTATGATTTGGCTTTTGCTCCTAAAAAATACATATCCATACGAACACTAGAAAAAACAAACTACTAAAATATCTAGTAGAATTCATCTACAGCCTCATAAAGTTTCGTGATTTATCAGAATTAAAATATATATATATATATTAAAATAAGTATATAGGCATCTGATGCTGAGATATATATTGACTGTAATATCAGATATGGAGTATATAAGAGACCTCTATTTGGAACTTTTTGGTTATCAACAAAAAATCGAATCACTTTCGAATGACATAATTACTAAAGTAACGAAACTTTAATTAGATTTGATTTACAATGCCTTAAAAAGTTGAGTCGCGACATGTTTGAATTGAACATGTCTTAGTTAATTGTAAACACCCATATAATGATATACATGGATCCATTACTATTACATCCTAGCGCCAAAAATATAAGACAATATGGGGGAGGAGATTTAGTGTTTTGTTTTTAATCTAAAGTTTGATTTGATTGTACTAGTTCCTAGATAATTACTAAACTTGATAAAAAAAAAAAAAATTACTAAACTGGATCAGAAAGAGATTACACCAGTAAGGGATTAAAGAAGTCCCAAACACGAAGTGTCGACATTTTATGAAGGAATATGGAAAATGTAAAAACTACTTCAATGACATTCTATGAGGTCATTGAAATGACAAAAGTAAGTTAATTAAAAGAATAAAGAGACATTTGAGAAAGAGAAAAATGAACAAGTACACAAGGAAAAGGAAAAGAAGCAAAGTAAAAATGATGTACAGCTTCATAACATTTCATGATACACCGGTCTTATATGTGTGTATTATATCAATTAGTCGACAAAAACATATGCTTATGTTTTCTAAAGTCATGTGCAATGCAATGCCAAACATGAAAACACAATGAGAATGCAGTTATTTTGGACTCCGGTCGAATTTTTTTGAAAAGATTAATTTTATCAACAATATGTGCTAACTTTGAATATATCTAGTGAATATTAATTAGTATGATGTTTTCCAAATTAAATAAGCAAAGCACTAGTAAGGTAGGAAATGTGATTGAACTATAAAGAGAGTGACAATCAGAGGATTCCTAAAGCATGATTAAGGTTACATTATTCTCGCAGAAAAAGATGGAATAAGAACAAGAGAAAGAAAATCAACTATGTGAGAACAACAGAAATTTAAAGTATATAGATAAATAAAGAGGCTCCATGCCTATATTTGTCAAGGCTTTAAACATAGTTTGAAATTTTAAAAATATTTTAAATAATTATGACAAAAAAAATCATTTTAAACAGTATTGCGTCGAGAAGACAAATTGATTGCGAGACCCAAAAGAAGAAAAAAAAATGCCAAATCGAATGGAAAGCCAAATTAGTTAAATAATGTCTCTTTTTAGTTGGAAAACCAAAAAAAGGGGACAAATTGGAAGAACTTAAAAGAAGATTGATTTTCTTATCGAGAAAAATAAGATACGAAGAAATAAACATTAAGAACCGGACACAGATCTGCAAGTTTTTTTTCTCAATTTATAAGAAGTTTACTAATCTGCAAAAACTGTAATCAAACCCGAATAAAGAGAACAAAGTTAGAAGAAACTAAAAACTAAATAAGGAAATTAAGCCCTAGATCTGAATTACCAGAGAAAAAAGAAACCCTAGATCTGGGTTATAAGAAACAAGAACTTTGACTGTTATTACAAAAACCAAAAGAACCCGACCAGAAATGTATTTGATAGAGATGCAGATCCAGACATAGATATATAGAGAATTAGTGAGATCCAAAAAACAGCAAAATTAATTACCCGACCTTGTCTTTTTTTGTCAAACCCTATAATTAAATTAGAAGCCCCTAGTGAGAGAGTGTGGCTCTGAAAGACAGATATCAACCCTAGAAGAAACAGGAATAGAGAGAACTGTAGGCTTCCGGTATCAATGGCGGATTTTTAGGGTTTCTGGAGTATCTTGCTGATTTAATTTTTTTCTTTGATTTTTTATCATTTTTTGTTGTGGTTGTTTGGTTGAACCAAATGGAGAAGCGGTCAAGGCTATTCATACCCAGCAGAGCTAGGGAGCTGGCTCATTAGGCTAATATATAGCCAGTTTTTAAGTATAAGTTTATGATTTTTAAACTTTAATTTCTTCCAATATCTATTAGAAATTCCACCTCTCTCTATTCACAATGAGATATAGCAGTAGCAACAATATTCATGGTTTTCTTTCAGCATAGAATATATTTTTAACATCTTTTCTTTCATTATTCTCTCTGCACACAATTTTTGACTTTGAAATAAGTTGGATTTTCTTTGTTTTTTCTTTGTTCATTAGATTAAATTCATATTTATATATAACATTAATTTATTGATAATATGAGTCACCTTACAAAAAAAGTTTATATGTAAAAAATCAAAATTACAAGGCAAATTAACTCCTATTCGATGAAATTGATTCTCCATAAGTGCGAAACAAATTAACAATGGATGTAATTTTGAATTGGTAAGAAGTATACTAAAATTAATAATGTTTTAACTTTCCACTTAAAAAAAAAATTAACTTTCAACTACATACAGTATAATGTTTTTTTGTTATCTACGTTAGTTTTCCACACATTCGTGTAAGTTTTTGACACTGATGAATTTTACTGTGTAAATTAAACTCACTAATGCTAATTTTGGAAATTTGTGGAGTATATACTATAATTGTCCATTCAAATTATTTTAGCACTATTCATATATGTTATCTACATTTCATCTGATTATTCTGAATTCCACTCATTCGTTATGGGGTGTGTTGGAAATTTATGTAGAGCTTTATCATTATGATTTGTACTAATATCACTATTGAGGCATAACCCATATTGAAATTTCATAATGTGTATTACAATTGTAGAAGGAAAAAGGTAATGAATATTTAATATGTGTTGGCTTGTGCTTTGGTTTGGTGATTGGTTAACTTCGTGTTTGGAGGAGCTAGTAAGACCATTCGGATGTGTAGCGTTGTTTTGGATTGTTAGATTTTGCTCTGCGCTATGCGATCTCGGGGAATGAGCTTGGTAGAGTGAGCTTGCGTTATAGTTTTCTTTGGTTCGTGTGGTTCCGTTCTGAGAGAGCTCATGGAAAGTTCATGAAGCCGTTTTCTTGTGATGCGAGTGGAGTCACTGATTTTGTGCTTTGTGTGCTTCGCCGTTGACGGCTCAGAGTTATCGGCCTACCGGTGAAAGGCTTCCATACACTTGGTTTCCAGTATATCGGCTTTTGCCGTTTGACAACGTGTTTTCTTCCTCCTTGAGGCGTCTTCTAGGCGATTCATCAAAATAGTTTTATCGCTTCATTGATTCCGAAAGCTTAATTGCTTTTGTTGATTTTAGTGGACCGAATGATATTTGCTTCCATGTTTTTTATCCTTTTTCTGCCATGGAACCAAGCTATAAGTCTTACATTCTTGTAACTCCTGACATTTTTCATTTTTATGAAATATTTATATTCTTAGCAAAAAAAAAATAAAAAAAAATAAAAGAATAATCCCTTTTACTTTTGCTCCTTGATTCTTGTCACGTAGATACAAACACTATATCATCATATGATGATTATACATTTTCATATCTTAATGGGCCTATAGTAGGTTTATGTTACGAAGCCCAAATTACAGGTGAGCAATCCAAATTTATAGTTCAGGATGCAATTGGTTTATGGTTGTACAACTTGAGAAATAAAAATAACTCTTTCGGGATGGAGTGGAAGATGGGAGTTTGAGCCTAGTGAAGAGTCGAATTGTGTGACTCTCGGCCTAAGTGGTATATCGGTTCCAGAGGCATATCATCATCATACGTGACTTCTCACATTAACATGTCTACGTATGCGCAGATTTTAATCTAGTTGTACTTGCGTTCACATGCCTACCTCCTAGTTTTTATATATGTAGTATCGTAATTAAAAAAATTTGAAATTAATTTTGGAAAAACAAATACTCATAAAGTCTTTGCTTCTCTGTTTTAATTATTTACTTGCTGATTACATGGATAATGATTTATATAGATCTGATTGTGATTGTGATTCTCTACTCATCTATTTTGTATCATCATTTTGAAATGTTAGAATCGCCTCGTACTAATTATAAAGATAATCAACTCGAAACAAACAAAACAAAGTTCAAAATATATAATTAAAACTATTTAATTAATTAAATGGAACAGCAAATATCTGATAATCAAAATTCTTTTGCGATTCAAACGTGCATGCACTAAGGTGAACTTTTCTTGGAACCACATAGTGAAGAGATCACGTATCACGTCTGTATGTGCTAATTTTGGATTAGTTCTTACGTTTTAAAATGGAAAAAACGTAGTATTAATTGAATAATGAGAATTTGTTATAAAATAAAATAACCCAAGTAAACCATGGGCAAATGGGATAAGAATATTAGCTTTGAATTTTATGTTTTGTTGCGAGTAAATTTTATTTAATTTTAGAGGGAGGCTACCTAACACTCCTGGATATCGTGCTTCCTAACTCCCCTTCAATACCGAGTCTTCTTGTTAATTATTTGTACCAAACTATTTGAATTTAAGATTTTAAGGTGTAATGATTTAAAATTCCTCTTCCACCAAATTTGTTGAAAATTTTATAAACTAATACATCGCATTTAATAGCTCTTGGTAATATGATAGGGTTATGAATTGTAATGAACTTTGAGAATTTATACATTAGTCTCAAAAACAAATAAATAAATGAAACTTGATTAGTGGGTTAATAAAAGAATATAGGTCGTGCCGGTCAACTACATTTAGCGTCTCATAATGTTCTAATAAATGAGCCTTAATTAATTGAATGGCTAACGTAACTGTTAATTAGTTTTTTTTTCTTCCATATGTGAATGATACTAAAAGTTAGTACTCCCTCTGTTTCATAATATATGATATTTTACCTAAAAACACACATTTTAAGAAATTTAATTTTGTTTTTAAAACTATCATTTAATATTTAATTTTAAAAAGTTCAACCAATGATATAAAAGACTGAAGAATATAAAAGGTCATAAAATATCAAATGTATTTAAAGTTGCATAGAAATTTGTAAAACATCCTATATTTTGAAACAAAAAATAAATTCTAAAACATCCTATATTTTTGAAACAGAGGAAGTAATTTTTTAGAATCAAGTGGCTTTTTAGACTAAATGAGATTGAATTGATTATTGATGGTTATTGCTACATCGAATTAAAAGTGTTCATATATGATTCTTTATAAATGTGGTAACGGAAAAAGACGATACCTCGTAGTACAAAAATCTACACAAAAATTATTATACTCCCTCTGTTTCACAAAGAGTGTCGTTTTAGAATTTTGCACACAGATTAAGAAAACATTAAATTTTTTATTTTTTCTAAACAAAAACATCATTAACTATATATTTAAACACAATCTGCCCAATAGTAAAACAATCTGCAGAATACTAATAGTCATAAAACATAAAAAATCATTAAATTTTGTATTGAAAACCTAAAACGACACTCTTTATGAAACAAAAATAAAACCTTAAAACACACTCTTTGTGAAACGGAGAGAGTATTAAGTATTGCCTTGAGTAATTAGACAAACAATCGCACTATATATGTAGGAGTAAAACCGTAAAACTTCATACAAAACTATCGCAACAAAATATAAACGACGTCGACGATCGAGAGAGACCGAGTCAGATTTTTTTACAAAAGCAAAAACAAAAACCGAAATAGAAAACTAAGTGGGTCCCTTTACCGGTCACCGTCGCGTTGTGTTTGGTTGATGATGTTCAGTGACAAAGATCAAGTTGATGAGAAGCCAAATAGGTCCACTATCACTAACCCGACCCAACCAAAGCTAGCCCGACCCATTTCATCTTATTCTTCAATGTACTTAGACACGTGTTTCGCAACACGTAGAGGATAATGTAAGTCGTGATCATGAAACAGCACTTCGCAATTCTGACTAGGATTTAGGATATATACATCCGAAACACAATTACATTATGCACTTAAGTAATAACAAACTGAATAGAGCTCATATCTATAATTGTTTTTTTTAATTAACAAGCATGTTTTTCAGAATTGAAAAAACAAAAAAAAAAATCTTATTTATTTGGCAGATCCATACACGTAAATATGCATGTATTTAGCGTTTTTTTCCCTTAATCGCTAGGTATTTGGCAGTTAATTGCATGTAAAACTCTAGAAAAAATAAAGACCGCATCCAAACTTCTATTTAGTCGCGCATAACCTAACAAAGTCAAATTGGGTTTGGCTGAATCAGCCTGCTGCAATATCTAACTCCTAATTAATCAGCCTTATATGTGGTTCGAATTTCTATGGTATTGTTGATAATTATAAATGCTGACGCACGTTTGTGAATTTGTGACAACACACAAGAAAATAAATTATTGCATATCGGCCAACACCTAAATTTTGAGTGGGCTTTTCACCTCACTTGATTGCCTTGCTGCTATTTGCCCCACCACTAGTGCTCGATCGTATATACACGAACCAAAATAGAAAAGAAAAAGAAAACTTAAACTTTCCAAGCATGCAAAAATTAACAAATAGAAAAAAGAAAAAAAAATCCAAATATGATAAAATAAAAATGTTAAGGAGGAGCTGACGAATTTACAACAATAATCATTTTTCTAATAGAACTCATGTATTGAAACAAATAATATTTATGAAGAAATGAATTCAAACGCGTAAGAGTTTTTATCAAGATCGTTGATGCATGTCTCTCGCATGCTCGTTAGGTTTTATACACAAAACATAAACAAATAAATAGAATTCTATTATTCATTGATATGATATCATATTATATAACACAAGATCAATACAGAAAATCAAGAAAATGTCAAACACATTACACAATAAAAGATGTCAACGCAAAGGCTACCGAGTCATCCGGTAACCTAACACCCTTTTATATTAAGGGACCTACATTAACGCGTGCATTTATATAAATATACGTAACCCAACCATTTCATACAAGAGAGAGAATCGCATTAACAAAAAAACAAACGAATCTTTTTGAGTTTAAACCCTTTTTCACTAACCGGAGAAATGGAGAGATCAACGCCGGAACATGTCTCCTCCGCACACAAGCGCCTAAGTGTGAGCTTCCTCGTATCTCTCATGGTAAATTGTGCTAGACACGCAAGCAGAGTTTCCAAGAAGCTTAAACCTAAGACGAGTCGGAAGCAAACTCATCTCGAAGACTATCTCGAAAGCCCTAAGTCTAACGGAAACGGTGGCGAAGACGACAGAGGAGGAGGAAGGTTTGGATGGAGTCCCGCACGGACTTTTTCTCCGATGAGGGTGCGTCCTAAGGAGCTTTATACGACCTTGAGCAACAAGGCGATGACTATGGTTGGCCGGAAAAACAAAGCTTACAACGGTGGTCCGACGAAGAAGACGGCGGTGGAGATGGTGATAGAGGAGGATGAGGAGGAGTACGGCGTTTGGCAGAGGGAGATTTTGATGGGAGGAAAATGTGAGCCGTTGGATTACTCCGGCGTGATCTACTACGATTGTAGTGGACATCAGCTAAGAGAAGTGCCTCCAAGGTCGCCACGTGCCAGTTTGGTTCCGGAGCGCCAGACCCGTTCTTATGTCGGGTCACTGTTAAACCCGACCGGAAAAGAAATTTAAATTTTAGTTTGAGAATTTGATTGTTGTTTGAGGTGTCATCAGGCAAGTGGTAAGTTCTCTAGGAGCTTTGGTTGTTCCGTTGTTATTGGTAGAAGCATGCATATTATTGTGTAATTTATGTAGTATTTAATACGTTTGGCAAATTTAAAACTTTAGTAGTTAAAAAAAAAATCCGATATAATAAAGGCTAAGATTTCTTTCCCATTTCAACCGTTCATTACCATTCAAATGGATCATTAATTAGAGAAAGCGATTACATGTGGTTGAACTATATTTTTCCATTTATATATATGGAATAATTGAGAATTTGAATCCACTATGCGGTAAAAAGGTTCCAATGATGACCTTTAATTAGCCATGTTAATGATTACAAACGCCAAAATAATCGTTTTCAAAAATACATTAGACCAAATCAACGGTTGATGTTCAGCAAGTTTTGGTGTTGACTTGGCTTTTTTGTCTGGCTGGCTTTGACTACAAAATCAAAACACAAAGAAGTCAAAAAAAAAAAAAAAAAAGTAGGGGTGAAGAAGATTCCAACTGTCTTAGAATCTAATTAATTATATATGCTTAATGTCACATTAGATTTTTTTTCCGTAATGTAACGTTTGAGCTTGTAAATATGTAACCATTGTATGCGTATTCTGTGCCTCTTCAAAATCTCCAGTGACTGATTTTTCCAATGTTAATAAACTAGCTACAATAAATTGTCTCAGTTCATGCATCAATACACAGTGAGTCATAAATTAGCTACTATAAAGGGTAAACATTCGAATTAAGATTTTCTTAATGAAGTTTGGAATCTTTGAATTCTGTCAAACCAATTACCAGTGGACATAATTTAAGACTTTCCCTGAATAGGCTTTGTACCCAACATTTTACAATCCTTTTCTTTTGCATAATATTTATTCTAGGGATGTCATAAATTTGGATTCACTAGAAACATATTTGCACCCAACACCGTATTCTCTTTAGATTTCAGTACAATGTTAATACACAGATAGACAATTTTCATGTTCATAAACGTATAGATAGGGAGGGTTATTAACAGGGGCGGAGGCAATGCTTTAGTTAGGGGGTCAACTGACCCCAACAAAATTTAATTACCTTTATGTTTTTTGATAAAATGTTAAATTGATCCTACTGAAAATTTTACATTGACCCCTATAAATCTAACTTATGTCTATGTTTTATTTTAAAAGAAGCCCAAAACTAACATTTTTGAGTTAAAAATATATTTGATCATTTTAAATTGAACCCAAATCAATAATACAATAATTTAGACCAGGTAAACCTCTTAAAATCTGGGCTTACAATTATAGAAAAGTTGTTTGAGAAATACTATATTTTGTGATTTTTTGTTTTATAAAATTTTGACCCCAATAAAAATTGGTTATAGCTCCGCACTGGTTATTAAGTCATTGGTTTTAACAACAAAAGGTTCTTATTGGAACTTTTGTCAAACTTTGAACATGACTATTTCAAAAGAATAAAGAACATTTTCATTATTAGAAAAAGAACACAAAAAGGATGTAACATGTTCTTCCATATCGTCTGAAATAATCAACGAAGATACTTAAAAACGCGAACCTAGGTAGTTTAGTTATTTACTCTCATTGGTTCTTCGAAATTAATTATTCAAACATAACCGGAAGACATTTGATTATGTAAGTATCTCCCCAAAAATATATAGATAAAAAACTCGGAAACAAAATAAAATATTACAAGTCAAGATAACTCGATGTTCTTATACATAACTAGACATTCTTCTTCATCTTATAACGGAACAAAATAAGAAAATATAGTATAATACCATGAACCGTGTTCCTGCTCCATAAATCGTACCGCGATCGGTTAATACTACCCTGAACCAGACTATACCAACCGGTTCAGGTCAAGCACCAGGGGCCGCATCTTTAGCCCTGCCATGGAAGTAACCACCGTATTCTCTAGCGTAATCTTTGACGTGAGAGGCCGTGTCATAGATCCGACTACGTGCATAATCCATCTGATTCGATCCAACCGGGTGCATTCCCCGGAAATAGCGGTACGTCCACGACAGGACTGTCACCGTTCCGACCAGAAATCCAGAGACCGTTAAGAACCCGCCCACGAGGACAAAAACAGGAATCCATATCGGACTCGAGATGATGATCAATGGAAGAAACACAATGAAGCCGAGCACGGCGGCGGTGACGCTTACACCGAGGAGGAAGAGGAGGATTCCACTGGAGATAAAGAGAGCGAGGAAACCAAAGAGCTGCGAGGAGGTTGGAGAATGAGATCGGAGCTGATGGAAAACCGACGCGATGGGGCTGTTGCTAACAGTGGGGGTGGTGGTGGAGCTACCGTAGATGGGCCAATATTGGGCCTCGCCGCTAGAGAACCTTTCCGCCATTGTAGAGAGCTATTGTTGTTTTCGTGTGTGACAAAGAATAGAACGAGGAAGGGTAAAACAAATGGAGGACAGATTCAGCTTTGAGGTGGCATTCATGCAATGTTTGTAAACACGTGGAGATTGGTCTTGATTTTCACTTTGTTTAGAATCGAGATTTTGGTTTAGATTCGGTTTAATTTAAATCGTATTGGTTGGGTTTGGTTTAGTTTGGTTAGCCGAAAACAATGTAAAGGGCCAATGCCAATTGAAGAACGCTAAACCAAACCTTCAAGATACAAGAAGAGACAACAGAAGTGAAACTACAATAGCAAATTGTGTATCTTTATGACAATTTTGTATGTTAAAATTCAGTAGTAGCCAACGCCTCTAAGCTCAGCAGAACTTGGTTGCTGCATATCACCGGCTTTTCCCAAAAACACAACTCGGCCTGCAGGGAGAAAAAAACAGAGATCAAGATTTGATTGTTTCCCAATGAAATATGTAAGCAATGCTAAATCTTAGTAAAGAAATGGAGTTTTTGCCATTTGTACCGTTTCTACGAATTGCTACTTCTCTTATACGTCGAACCAAACCAGTGACTGGATCAGTGAAAATCTTCGTCTCCAGATTACCCTCCAAGTAGATAACTGTACTGTAAAATGAACACGAATCATGTTGTTCAATGACACATACACGAAAGCAAGCTACCATTTTGATTCTAGCAAGTAAGATTCGCCTAAAGTTTCATGCTTTTTCACCAATTCTTGATCGGAATCAGGCAGGATACATACATTTGATTCAGTATGTAAAAGATTGGTTCCTTATTCTATCATCACATAACATCAAATGCTAAATATGATCTCAGAAGAGAACTAACCCGGGTTCAACATTCTTCAACACAAGCTCTGCCAAGCGTTCAGGGTAAACAGAGACACGGTGCCACTGCACAGCAGACCGACTCGCATACTCTCTCGGATCTTCGTTAATAAGCGGTCTCCGGTTGTTCCTGATCCCACCGGTTCCTACAGAGAAGAGAGTGACTGTTCTACCACTCTTAAGCTTCTTCTGCAGAGGTAGCTGACCCACTTGCCCCACCAATATCGCCTAAATTTCGACAGAAATTAGTCAAAATTCTCACTAATAAACCTAATCCAGAACGAGAATCTAATGATATTCACAAAATGACTCAACAATGATCGATTCAAGAGTATGTGTATCAATTGGAAGTAGAATCTAAGATTTATACCTTGAAAATGCCAGAGTCAAGGCCATTTTCGAGTGGACGCTCTTCCATCACGCGTTCTTCTCCGGAAAATCGAGAAACTGGATCCGAAGCCTTGGGTTCAATGGGGGATTCAGTATCTGAGTTAGCAGATAACTCGTCAAAGTCGGAGTCTTCTCGGGAGGAGATGTTGTTGGTGCAGAAAGACATGGAAGATTGAGAAATTCTAGGGTTCGAGAGAAGAGATCGATAGAGTCTTCTCGAAAGCGTAGCCACTGAATTCGCCATTTTTTATGTTCACTGAGAATTTCAGATCGAATTGAACGAGAAATGTTGGAATCTGGGTTTAACGTCTTAAACCCTAAAGGTCTAAAGAGCGGAGAGAGTGATTGGAACATTTTGGGACAAAGTGCCTCAATTATTACAAATCTGATACTTTTTACCAAAATTTTATTAAATGACAATTTCAACCCCCAAGTTGAAATTGTCAATGAGAAGAAGAATATTGCTTTTTGTAGTCACCAAAAATATAACTCAAGACTCCTATGTATCCGTTAAGAAGCATTTTGATTCTAATAATAATTCTATTTTCACCACATTTTCTACTTTAGAATTCTTTCGGAAAACACATCGTCCACATAAAATTTGATAATTCAAAATAAGTAGCAAAAATATCCCACAAAATCTGATATTCCTCAACAACTTTTTTTTTTTGACAACTTTTCAAGTCATGTTGTTTTCGACAAAATATCTTTTTCATTCAAGAAATTAAAATACCAAGTCAAAGAGATATCCATTAATTATCCCTCAAGAAGTGGTCAACTCTAACAAATCTCCAAGTCTCACTCTTTTTAAACTCAAAACCTCAAGCACTCACAAGTCATTACAAACACAGAAAAAAAAAAACAATCTCTGTTACTTTGGTTGGAGCTCTCCCTTCATATCAAATCCAAAACAACAAATGGATTCATCGAAGAAGATCATTCTCGTTACGTTTATTGTATCATTTTACATGTTTTCATGTGTATCAAGCACTGAATTTGAAGTTGGAGGAGAAGATGGGTGGATCGTACCAAAGTCTAAGACTCTTGGAGATGCGTTTAACCAATGGGCTTCAGATAACCGGTTTAAAGTTGGCGACACTCTCCGTAAGTATATTGAACACTTTGTTATGCAGTTTTAACGTTTCATCTTTAAGATATATTAACTCTTTTGTGAGACTTCTGGATTTTTTGGTGAAGGTTTCAAGTACACGAAAGACTCAGTGTTAGTGGTGTCAGAAGAAGAGTACAAGAAATGCAAAGCGACCAAACCGCAACTCTACTCAAACAACGAAGACACTGTTTTCAAACTAGACCGACCCGGTTTGTTTTACTTCATCAGCGGTGTCTCTGGCCACTGCGAAAAGGGTCAGAAGATGATCGTAAAAGTTATGGAGACTGAGTCTTCCACAGAGTCTCCTCCTCCTTCATCTTCATCTTCATCTTCGTCATCATCATCATCACCACCATCATCATCTCTTCCGGCTTCAACTCCCAAGGCCAAGAAGAGCAATGCCTACAAAACCGCGGTCCAGTTCAGTAGTTCCGGTTTTGTTGTCTTTGCCGTTCTTGTTGTTTCAGTTTTTGGTTTGGTTTAGTTCCAGCGATTTTAGCTGAAGATTTTAGGTCGGTTAAGCGTTTTTGTTTTCTTTATTTCGATCACTGAATTTGGTTTCCGGTTAGACCGGTTTAGCTTCAATGAATATGTTTTCACTTTTCATGTAGTTCCTGTCACCTAATAAAGTTCTTTATGGTTTCTTATGCTCATTCCATTTCCATGTATATAAGTATTTATTATATGCAAACGATATCAACAATTCTCTTTTTTTTTTTTGACAGCCGATATCAACAATTCTTAAAAGATATAACCCATAGAACCGAAACATTGATAGTATGCCAAGTATATTATAAGAAACATTTCATTTAAATTAAACAAAACTTGGCGGTAATTAATTAAAAAACAAGTATCCTAAGGAGCAAAATAGTTCATAAGCCGATCGAGACACTTTATGCCTATTTAGGTGTGGACTTGCCATAGGGACTGTAAGGACTGAAGCCATTGCGACCTTGTTGCTTGGCCTTCCTCACCTTCCCAGCTCGACTTTCTATGTTCAGATTCACTTTAGGCGGCGCAGAGAAGCAGAACGATGCTGCAACCTCCTGTGACATTCAACGTCAAAACCCGAGATATCAGCTATCCCGTAAACAATATATTTAGAAGAACGTTTGTTGTTTTTGTTTCTTTTACCTGGAGATCAAGTCGGTGAACATTAAAGATATCTTTCAAAGAGTGTGAATTGTATGCTGAGATATAAGCCCGGTACGCATCCTTGGCTAACTTGTTCAGATTGTAGTCTTCGGCAACACATTTCTCCTGTGGGACAGAACAAGAAACACTGTTATTACAGCGAATCCAGTTGCAAATGGAAAGTTATCTAACCCACAACATCACTGAATCAGGACTCTTACCAGCTCAGATCTAACATTCATAAGCTTCCTCTCATTGAACTCAAGCTCTTTAACAGGTACTTTCGCAGCCTGAGAGTTAAATTACAAATTAAAACACACAAGTTGGTTAACCCACAAAAACAATTCAATAACCATTCTTACCTTCAGGTAGCGAATAAACTGGAGCTCTTCAGGAATCAAGACAAGCAATGCCTTTCCCTTTGCTCCCTCTCCACGGGCTGTTCGACCAACCCTATGGATATATTCCTGAAAACAACAGCACCAAAGAAATACCTAAGATACACATACAGAGCCACACGGATATAGAAAACAAACCAGGGGGAAGTGTTTGTTCTACCGTTGGCTTGTCTGGTGGATCATACTGAATAATCCAGTCCTACAGATAATAAAACTCGACACAATATGATTTCAATATAACCATTGAGTAAGTAAAAGCATTAAAAATCAACGCAAGAACATGAATGTGGAGACGTACCACTGAAGGAATATCGAGACCACGAGCAGCAACATCAGTACATAACAAGATACCTTTCTTTGCTTTCATGAAGTCAAAAAAGGTTTTAGTTCTTCTGTTCTGATCTAGGCCTCCATGGATATCACAGAAATCCACATTGCTTATTTTCATGATTTCAGCATGGAATTGTACCGACTTGCAAGTCGAGAAAAAGACCATAATCTTTTTATTTGGGTTCTTTTTCAAAAAGGTAATTAGAAGGATAAGTCTATTTTTGCTCGGAACAACACAATAGCCTTGCTCCAATCCTTCATTTGTCACCTAACAGTTTTGGAAACTTGTTAAGAAAAATCTCCATGATCACTAAATATCCTTTACCAGAGTATTTTATTTAATTCATACCTTGCGTCTGCCATCATCAACATCAACATGAACAGGGGATGTCAGTGACACCCGAGCAAGATCTTTAACCTGTAAGATTCACCAAGACAATGCATCATTGAAAGACAGAAAATACTAATAATGACAATACAACACCCAACAGAAATATACCTTAGAGGTCTGGGTAGCGGAGAATAACGCAGTTTGCCTAGTCTGCAGAAACATGGTCAGAACTCCAATCAGTGCAAAAGCCAAATACAGAGTGATGCCAGAAATTTTGGCGCATAAGTTGTGTTGGCATTTGAACAAACAAATTCCTACAAAACTACTTTGGTAGTGGATTCGGATGAGGAGAATATCAACACCAAAGAAAATTTACATGTTTGAATGTTTCTATATAAAAAAAAATGAAATCTCTGATACTGATAGGTTAGAATTCATCTAGTTTTCCCATATCTTTTTGGAGTAGACCTTAATTAAGACCCCAAAAGATGACTTACCTTTGGTAAAATCTTTAGAATCTTATTCATGTCTTCCTCAAAATTATCTTCCAGTATCCTATCAGCTTCATCAATCACAAGGCACTGCAATTTGTAGGGAATATAAAAAATGACAAACATTCATTAGAATCATCTATAGCATAAAGCTGTATTTACATTTCAACTATTAGTATTGCCACAGCTCAAGCTACAAACCTAAATAAACCATGGAATATGCGTGGATCACATCCGCAGTATTCCTTTTGTAATTCTAACATTGATACAACAGAAATGAATATAGCATAAGCTGCTGTCTACAGTTCAGATATTCATCTATGGCCTCCTTTGCTTAATATTGTTTGTTAATTGGCAATTATGGCCATGTGGCTCAACAGTATAGCTTTTAGCATCTGCTTCACACAAAGAAGACTAGATAGGACGCCAACTGTAACCATGGAAAAGACAGTACCTTCAAGTGTTTATAAATGAAAGCCTTTGTATTGTGAAGATGGTCAAGAAGACGCCCAGGAGTTGCTATCAACAAGTTTGACCCATTCGCAATGCGTTGTGCTTCCGACCTTCTGTTATTGCCACCAATAACCATGCCGACTGTCTGTGAATGATGCTTGAGTAACTCCTCTGCCACATTTTTTGTCTGAAATATCAAAATAGTACTGTGAAAACCGGAATGGAAGGCAGAATAACACACAACAATGTTCATACTTTACAAAACCAAGCAATAGCAATGATTCATCTACATGAAAGACGAGAACCCCACAGGTTTGATCTACCTAGCACATTACAAGAATTACAGGACACATCTACTCGAAATGAAAGTATGGTTGCTGCCAAGTTGAAATACCTTAGGTAGATAAAAAGGAAATTTACCTGGATAGCGAGTTCCCTTGTGGGGCAAATAACAATTACACCAGTCCCGTTGCGAGGAGAAAAATGATGTTTAAGCAGCAACTCTACAGCTGGTATGAGAAAAGCAAGAGTTTTACCAGAACCAGTCCTGGCAGCACCAAGAACATCCTTCCCCTCCAAAAGGGGCCGAATTGATCCAGCTTGAATCTGAATGATAGCAAATGATTAAGAGACTTAGAAACATACTCTGCCACAAGTCACAAGACCATGTTTTGCAAAATCCGGTTTTAACATCAGAAGAAGGTTCAAATTTACGTACTTGCGTCATGTACTGAAAGCCCATCTCCTTGATAGCTATAGAAGTTTGCTCAGATAAGTCCAGGGAGTCAAAAGTCTGATCAGTCATTATCCCTTTTCCGACAATCACGGGATTCTTCTCTTCTTCACCATCTTCCATTGCTTCCACCTCTTCTTCTTCCTCTTCCTCGGTTTTGCCTCTCCCTTGCAACTTCACATTCTTAACCTTCTTTTCACTCTTCTTCTGCTTTTCGTCTGCGTTTTCCTCTACACTGTGGGAATCTTCCTCCGGTTTTTGCTGCTCATTCTTCTTCCCACGGCTCCTCTTCCTTACCCTCTTCTTCAGCTCTTCAACGGATGTCTTGTCCGATTCAACCATGTTTCCTCTTTCTCAAACCAATCAATTCTGCAGTAAAATTACAGAAATCTATGAATAGAAAAACAACAAATTTGAGAGTAAACAGAGCAATACCAAAGAAAAACCCTAACTTTTCGATTCTCAAATCCAAAAATTTACGATTATATACAAAGCAATCTAGGTAAAGTTTCTCGGAGCCGTGTATTGCAACTCGATTTCATTTAGGATACAGACATTCGAAAAGGAACAAACAATTGAAGAGAACCCGTAATTAAAAAAAAAAAAAACTTACTTTTAGAAACGAAGCCACTTGAAGGATGCGAGAGAGCTCAGAGAATCGAAGAAATTTGCTTTTGAAGAAGTTGAGAGAGTGATAACGCGGCGCGGAGACAAGGTTTTAGGGTTTAACAAGAAGTTGTAACCTTTTATTTATTTATTAAATTCATTATATTCCTGATTTAGTAATTCGTATAAAGTCGGCAAATAATCTTATAAGTTATAAATGAGTCTGTACTTGTATAAAATGCGCAAAATTTAGATTTGTTTTTATTTTATGATGTGTTTTCCATTTTTATCAGTAATAATTTTTTTTAAAAGTAATTGATTCTTTGCGCTCAAGAATTAGTCTCAATGATTATTATTTTGAAATGTATCTTAACCAAATTCCTAACATTTTCTCAAACACGTGATCTGTCCAGAAAGTGTTAGTCAAAACTTTGGCAAGGGCAATGGAACATACAGAGAATGATACAAGAGATTTTAAATTGTGTAAAAGCCCTACTCTAAGCAGGGCTGATAGCAGTGAACCATTAATGAAGTTAAGGGATTTGTTCCAAAATTTGAGCAGCAAAGTAAAGTGCTCTTAAGTTTAAGAAAAAAACCAACACAAAATATCTTGAGAAGAGTACAACTCCATCACATAAAGCTTAATGCTTTTCTCAATAGAAAACAAAAGAAACTAGGCCAAAAAAGCTACTATAAGATAGAACAAGAGACAAGAGCCCTCTCCAACAAAAAAAAAAAGCTTCTTCTAGTCTTCATCTTTAAAGACCGTCTTCTTCCCTGCAAGACCATACAAAACACAAGTTTATAACAACACTAATTCTAAGAAAAGGGGAAGAGGAGAGAAGAAGAAACAAACCTAGAGCTGATTCAATTACACTTGGTTTGCTGGGTCCTCTTCCACGCGTACTGAAACGGCCACGAGGTGCTCCTCTATCTGAGGAACGGCCACGAGGTGCTCCTCTATCTGAGGAACGGCCACGAGGTGCTCCTCTATCTGAGTAACGTCCACGAGGTGCTCTACCAGGTGCTCTGTTTGAGGAACGCCCCTCATCACTATCTCTTGGTCTAGACTCTTCCACATGTATGTTCCATCCTCCAATTTCACTTCCCCTCAGTTGCAACGCCTCATCGAATCCACTCGTCAAATCTATGTAGGCCAACCTGAAAGAATAACAAGAAAACTTCAATGACCATCTTTATCATCATCATCATTATCATTCACAACGCAGGAAAGAAAAAAAAAAAGAAGAAGAGTTACAAACCCCCTGCAAGCACCAGTCTCACGATCTGTTGGAACATGAACCCTTGTCACCTCTCCGCAGTTACTAAAAAGACTTCTCAACTCTTTCTTGATCTGATCATGATCACAAAATATTTTTAATGGTTTGAATCAGAGATTTATTTACACAAATAGCTATTATAACATATGTAATATTGGTTTAAAGAAAGTTGAGGACAAGAATTTTACTTCATCTTCGCCAAGAGAAGAATTGAATCCTCTAACAAAAATCGTTCGACTTTGGCTTCCTTCTCCTTTGCGACCAGGATTGCTGCATATAGTCCAACAAAAACCGATATTAGCCTGGAAACAAACATACATAATCACAACATGCTCATATGGCAAAGTAAGAAAGTACCTGTTTCGTTGACCCCTCTCGTTAGCAAGATCAAGCCGAACATCGCGCCCTAGTAACATTTTACCGTTCAGTTCCAATGCCTGCATTCAAAACATTCAAAATGAATCCAATCATCATCGTAATTTCAATACCACTTCCATGATTCCAAAATAACAAATATGAAGTTACCTTCTGAGCTTCTTCTGGAGAAGCAAATTCAACATGCCCATATCCCTTAAATGTCCCATCATCATATGAAGAAAATCTAACATCAACAACTTCACCAGCTTCTTTGAAGAAATTCTCTCTGTATATTGGGTTATAAATATCATACAACCAACATTTTATACGAAGAACCAGAGAAAATGTTATGAAAAAATGTCATTATGCTTACATGTCAGATCTCTTAATTTGAAAGGAAAGATTTCCAGCAAATAGCGTCTTTGATCCTCCCTGAGTCTCAGTAGTTGGTGTCTTTGGCTGTAATATATATATACATAAAACGTTATAACCAAAAAGACATTATATAAAACGTGATAAATAACAACAATAATCATGACTAAGGAATAAATTCGTAACAAAATTTTACTGGATAGAGTCTTTTACCTGCTTTGCATTTGATTTCTGCTCTGCATCCACCATTTCAATATCAGAGTCCTGAAAAGATTAGAACAAAAATTATTATCAAACATTCTATAGTGAACTATTCTTCCTAGGGGAAAGCACAGAAAGGAAGTAACATTATTGGTACCTTTTTCTTTGGGGTCACTTTCTCTTCTTTACTCTCCTCCTTATCAGATTCATCACTAGATTCCTCACTAGAGCTTTCTTTTTTAGATGTTTTTGTTAATGAAACTTTAGCCTGCAAAAACAGTTTAATTGTCACTTCTGCAGCATAAACCTAATAAAAACAGCTCGGAGGAAGAAGATAACTACCTTCTTTGTAGGAGGTTTTTCATCATCACTTTCCTACAAGTGAGAAAATAATATGGAATATTAATTGTTTAGAATATATAAACCTATCACAAATCATTAAGAAGATCCAATCTTAAGAAAAAAAAAATTAAAAGACACTAAATAATCATGTTTTAATTAGTATATATGAAGATCGGAAATTGTTTCAAAACAAACCTCCTCATCAGAATCTTCCTCTGAGGATGATGAATCTTTTGCAGCTGGTTTGATATTCTTAACAACTGTTGGCTTAATGGCAGGTGTGAGCTCCTAATTATGTTTGATAAAAAACGAATCTCAAAGTAAGTATATAATTTTACTTTAACATTGGGCTAACATGTATAACGCAAGTCTTACCTCGTCCGAAGAAGATTCCTCCTCTGATGAACTGCTATCTGCTTTGGTATTCTTAAGGGCTGCGGGTTGCTTCTTCGCAGGGGCAGATTCCTAGTATGTTTTATAAAAATAAAAAATTGAAAATCAAACAGATAAAGCATATGGAATTCCTAATTATGTTTTATACAAAAAAAAATTCCAAAATAAACATATGGAATTCCTGCAACCTTAAGCTAACAAGTAAACCTAAAATGTTTACCTCGTCAGATGAAGATCCATCATCTGATGAACTGCTGTCTGCCTTGGCATCCTTAAGAACTGTTGTTGTCTGCTTCTTCACAGCGGTTTCCTGATAAAATTTTATCAAACACAAATTTCAGATTAAGCTTATGACATTCCTTTAACATTGAGCTAACATGTAAAGATGCAACATACCTCATCTGAAGAAGATTCACCCTCAGATGAACTGTCTTTCTTAACAATTGTAGGTTCCTTCTTTTCAGGGGCGGGTTCCTAATCATGTTTTTTTTATAAAAAATTAAGCATATGATATTATGTTGTAACATTGAGCTAACATGTGTAATGCGCAACTCATACCTCGTCCGAAGAAGATCCATCATCAGATGAACTGCTTTCTGCCTTGGCCTTCTCTGGTGGTTGCTTCTTCACAGGGGCAGTTTCCTAATATTGTTTTACCAAAAACACAAATTGCAAAGTAAGCTTACGAGATTCCTCTAAGCTTGAGCTAACGTGTAATGATGAAGCAACTCATACCTCGTCTGAAGAAGAATCATCATCAGATGAACTGCTCTCTACCTTGTCTTTCTTAATAGGTTCTGGTTGCTTCTCAAGGACTGCTGCTGGTTGCTTCTTCACAGGGGCAGTTTCCTAATATTTACCAAATACACAAATTGCAAAGTAAGCTTACGAGATTCCTCTAAGCTTAAGCTAACATGTAATGAATAAGTAACTCATACCTCGTCTGAAGAAGAATCATCATCAGATGAGCTGCTCTCTTCCTTGTCTTTCTTAATAGTTTCTGGTTGCTTCTTCACAGGCGCAGGTTCCTATATATATATATATATATATATATATATATATATATATATATATATATATATATATATATGTAACAAATCAATTTCAAAGATAACATGTGGCATTGCTTTAACATTGAGAGAATATTTATGACGCAATTCCTACCTCATCCGAAGAAGAGTCATCAGAAGAAGAGTCACCCTTCTGCTTAGAAGGAGGTTCCTTTGCAAGGACTGTCTTAGTCTATAAAAATAAAATTAAAGGGACAAAATATGAGTATAGACAGAACATAGTACAAAATTTTAACTAGACGTAACTAAATTTTGTCACTTTTTTTTGTCACATTGCTCTAAACAAATTAAACAACTGAGATTGAAGTTATACCTTCTGATCATCCTCAGAATCAGAAGAAGCTGATGAGTCAGAACTGCTACTCTCTACCTTCTTCGGTACCGTTTTCTCAGATTTCTCCTTCTGAACAGCATCAATCAACTCTTTCTTCTGTTTCTTCGGAACTTGGATGTCCAAATCCTGTTCCGCATCTCTCTTACCTAACACAAACAAATTCAAAACAGAACAGAGTGTTGAGAACCTAGTTCTTGACAAGACATAAACAAACTAATTACAACACTCTCGTTCAACACAGTATAAAACACTCCTTCAATTAACAGCAAAATTCCCAAATCGTCCAAAGATATAATCACACAAAGTCAAATAAAATCGAACCTTTCTTGAGTGGCTTTGTCATTGAAGCAGGTGATTCAACCTAGAAAACCAAAAGTAAAAAAACAGAGTTTTATCTTCACAAACAAAACAGAGTAATAAGAAGAAGAAGAAGAAGATGGAGAAAGATGACTACTTTGGTGGCGGATTTTTTGCTAGACTTGCCCATGGATTCCGATCACAAACGAGACTGGTGTAGCTAGGTTTACGAGAAGCTTGAAAGGTTTTCGCGTTTAGGGTTTTTACTTTTTACGGGAGATTTGTAATTTATAGATAGAGAGATCTTTGGGTCTGATTTTTGGGCAATGAAGAGTCGGTCTCTTTATTTTGTTTTTCCTTTTTTTTTCTTTATACGTGAAACTTAATCTATACCGTCCACGTCACAAGCGATTTGATAACTTACCATTTATTTTGATTTGCTAGACACTTGACTCACAAGTTTTATCAAATTTACATGTGTCAAATTTTTTTATTTTTTATTTTTTATTTACACGAGTTAAAATAATATTAAAAAGAAAAAATTCCCGAAAAGTTAAAATATTTTCTCCTCCAACTTTTTTCGTTTCCACATAAAATCTCTAAATTAAAAAATTTTCTCAATCAAAACTTTCAACCTTTTTTGTTCCCAATTAAAACCTCCAACTAATTAATTTTCTCTAAGAAAACTTTTAAGTCGTCAAACTTAAACCTGATCAATAGTTGACCAATGATTGCTGATAATTTCGTTCGGAATAGTTGATAGTCGTTGACGACATCTATTTTTCATTTATTTAATTTCCAAAATTTTGTATGAACCCTAAAAATTAGAAAAAAATGTATTATAGGGTTCGTAATTAATATTTTCATCTTTTCTATTGTAACTAACACATGTGAATTTTGAAAGGAAAACATGTTGTTAAAAGCCGTTTACCGTTAGTTAATCATTGATCAAGCACAAATTTGATGACTTAGATATTTTTAGATAAAATTAATTAGTTGGAGGTTTTATATGGAAACCGAAAAAGTTTGAGGTTTTAGTTGGAAAAGTGTTTTAATTTGGAGTTTTTTTTTGTTATAGGGGGACCAAAAATAAGAATAAAATAATGGGAGAGATATGCAAATAATAAGAATTAATCATTTTTTCACCGCTGTGTTCAAAGCTTCTTCTCTTCTTCCTTACGTCCGATCAAAATTTGCCGGTGTTTACTGTTGCAATCGCCGTCGTCAACGGTGGGTTTCGGTAGATTGATTTATAGAATTAGAGGGATAAAAGAGAGGAGATTTTTGAATTTCTTTCTGATGCATATCTGTGAATATTAAAGACGGTCAACGCAAATTACTTGTGAAGAATCGGATGCTTTGTGTCGTGGTCAAGCTATTTCGGATTAATCTGACAAAAATCTGTCAGATCTTTGTGTAAAGATAGTAGCTTTCAGGGAGCTAATAGTTCTGTTCGGTGCCCAAGATTAGAGATTTCGAATGTTTTGACGGATGATTCAGCGAGACGTGTTTCATCGATTAGCAGATGATTGGTGGGGTTTCTTCTGAAATTGATACGTATTCTATTGGTTTAGGATATTCAAAGCTAGAGGAAAACAAGTTTTTGGTTGATTCGTTTGATTTCATTTCAATAAAGAAGAGCTTTTGGGTTTTCTTTGAGTTGGTGATTGTTAACTTTCATCAATCTTCTGGGATTTCTGAAGAAACCTTGTTTTCTTGTATCCAGATATGGAAGAGTCTTCCCAGGTTAGTGGATCCTTCTCTCTCTCACCATTCTTCACTTCATAATCTAAAAGATTTCATCTTGTTATGCCTTAGTGTGTGAATTCAATCTTGGAATTATTGGCCAGTTTGTGCTCACAGTGTGGGTTTTGGAAAAGCTTATGAATGTCAATAGGGTCTTGTCAACTAGTTGCAGATTATAAGATTGGCAAAGAAAGAAATTTTTATCAAATCTGGCATTATATATGTGATGCAAATCCTTTTTTCTGGGACTTTCTTTTGTCATAATACTTGCTTAATGAATGGTGAAGAAAGGGAACGTTTTAACTTCTCAATCATCGGTATCTGATAGAGAAATGTTCAGAGAACATAATATGATAATACAGTTTAGGCAATCATGCAGTTGGATTGTGTTAGTGTTAGTGTCAGTGTTTACACACTGTGGTCATCTGATAGTAGAGTGACCCTTTCATACTGGGACTGTTCTCTTGCAGTATAGGTTTAAAAGAGATAACTGTGATATAGCAATAGGTCTTAACGTTTTTAACTGTTTGCTTTTTTCTCTAGGGGAGTTTTGTTACAACCATAAATGAGGATTATGAAGCAATTTGTTGGGGCTGTGGGCTAAACCTTGTTCTTCCATCATATGCACCTGTTTTCAAGTGTGGATGGTGTGGTGCAATCACGAATCAGAATCCAGTCAGACCTGAAACCAAAAGCTTTGGGTTGAGACGTATCCGTGACCGGTGTTTTGTCGTTATTCTTGCAGTTTTTATGCTCTTTGTGATATGTAAGTCCCTCTACATAAGTATAACATAATTTTGAAAATTGAATTTCCCGTCCCCTGTTAAATTCTCTTTTGGAAAAAAAAACTTCAGGTGGTGGGATTTGGGCTGCGTATCCCGTCTTGTTTTCGATCAGCTTGGCTTGTGGAATTTTCCATTCTGTTACAACAGCGTGTCTGGCGATATCAACGCTTTCAACATTTATTCTTGTTGCTTTTAAATGCGCCGGGAAGCCAACAAATATTCTTTATGGAACCCACCCTGGAGTAGGGAATGGCGGACTTAACAACTATACATTTTGTAACTACTGCTCCAAACCCAAGTCTCCTAGAACCCATCACTGCCGCACGTGTGGCATGTGTGTATTGGACATGGATCACCATTGCCCCTTTGTAAGTCTCATGGCTTTTTCAGGTTTCTCTTTAGTTATTACATGTATCTTTTTTACATAAAGGGCTAAATAAAGAGTGGCTTTTTGAGTGTACGTTGTGTGGTAATATAGATGATTAGTTTTCGCATTTAGCGTTTACATAAATCACATAGACTTGTACCTTGTTTATCATTCCATCTCATAAACCCTCTAATCTTCCCCAATCAAGAGTCCTTGGATACTAGACTTGTTTGTCAATACCGTAAATATCAGTGTTCTTATTTACTGGTTAAGGACTTAAACGCTAATGAGTCTCCTTGTGTTGTATTTGCAGATTGGGAACTGTGTTGGTGCGGGTAATCATAAACACTTCATAGCATTCCTTATCTCAGCCGTCACTAGCACAATCTATGCTGCTGTTATGTGTGTGTATTCCTTGATTCATATCTTGCCACCTATGGAAAATGGAGCTGCATATGCATCCGATGTGGCCCATGTGGCTCATGGTAATAGTTTTTCGATTCTGAGAGTGGTGAAGAATATATTTCTTACTTACATAGCCAACGCTGTCTTCATCTCTGTTCGAAGCCTTGTTCTAGTCTATCTCTTTGTGGCGAGTGTTTCTGTGGCGATTGGGCTAAGTGTTTTGCTGTGGCAACAGCTTAGCTATATCTATGAAGGCAAGACTTACTTAAGCCATTTAAGTTCTCAAGGAACAGAAGAAGATGGTGAAAAGAGCTGCCGGAATCTTTTGACTTTTTTCGGGTGTCCACATTCAATTGAAAGGCACTTGCCAACCATAAGGAACTTGAGGAAGAGACATAAGACATGAGAAGAAGAAGAATAGAATGTGAGCCAAATATGTTTTTTTCTGTTTCCTCCTACGTTTGGGAGCTTGTTGTGGTCAATTCAGAAACATTCATCATACTTGGAGCTAACAGGTAATGCAGATTAGCAAAGTTTGTACCTCATTTGTGAAAATTCATGATCATAGAATATAGGAGCAACTGCTCCTGTAAATTTTGTTTCAAGATTGTAAATTTGTTGTTTCCCTGACATGCCTTTGAACTCAAGAATAACATTATCAAAGGGGTTCCATACAAATATCCTTTTAGCTCTCGCCTTGATAATCGAACTTTCCATACAAATTTAATACACCATTGTTCTTGAAAACTACAAAATGAAGACACAGTTTGCCACTACTGAGCCATACTCAGATCCAACTACTTCAACAGCCTATGCTAGGGTTCCGTGATAACACAGTTCACAAAAAAAGGGCATTACAACTGTTAAGAACTTCAAACTTTCTTCACCAAAAAGGACTGCAAAAAACGCTAGGCTTAGGAGAAAAATCACACTTCTTCTTGGCCTTGAGACTACGGTTAACAAGTTAAAGTTGCCAGTCTATGGGAGGAATCCCCATTTGCTCGAGAAGCTGGTTTGCGCGAGAGAAATGCCTGTCCATAGGTGGAACATTACTGTTAAACTCAGCAGTTGGGACAAAATAAGCACAACACGCAGATAATTGCAGGTCATGTCAGACTCACGGAAACAGTGGTTACATTATGCAAGTGAATAGGTAGGAGGGAAAAAAAGGTTTACTAGAGTTGAGCTAACCTGCAGTTAAAGAAGCCTCTATTCGCCGACAAACCAGATGGATGAGCTGCTGTGAGTATATGATGTTTAGTCGCATCTATCAACCTGTATTCATACAAGATAAAAACAATGAACATGCATAGGCTGCAAAATCTGCAAGTCTAAGAGGTTCTAGTGTTTTGGAAGTTAAAATGAGAATTTCAGTTACTAATCTTCGTATCACATTCAGAAAACCAAACATACTTGGATTTCTCTTGAGCGTATCTTCCCCAGAGAAGAAAAACAACACCTTCCTTCTGCTGTGAGATGCTTTGGATAACAGCATCAGTGAATTGTTCCCATCCTTTCTTTGCATGTGAATTAGGCTGTTTACTCCGTACTGAATTAGAAAGTAAGATAACCAACATATTTGTGAGAAGAACTGCAGGATTTTGACAGTTTTATACATATTAGGTCGTCGCACGATAAGAGACATTTACCTGTAAGAACAGCATTCAGCAGCAAGACACCCTAAAAAGGAAATTCAAAAGTGAATTGCTTGATCTTCTCCAAGTAAACTAAGAATTGATGACACAAATAAGAAGAGAGAGATCATAAAGAAACTCCATTTACCTGCACAGCCCATTTCTGTAGATTACCGTGACGTGGGATAGAACAGCCAACATCTTTGTGAAGCTCCTTAAATATGTTCAACAGACTAGAAGGAAGCTTTTCTCCTTCAGGTACAGAGAAGGACAAACCCATAGCTTGACCAGGTCCATGATAAGGATCCTAAATCAAACAGAGTAAAAACTTGTAAAAAACAGAATCCAGAAAAAGAAACTAGTGTTCATTCCAAATGTTGTATGTACCTGTCCGATAATGACAGTCTTAACTCGATCAAAAGGAGTTGTATTAAGGGCATTGAAAATCAAGTGTTGCGGTGGATAAATCGGAGGGCTTTTACTGTCAGCGATGATCTCACGTTCAAGGAAATCAGAAAGGGTTTTGGCGTAAGGTTTATGCAATTCCCCAGGAAGAGCTTTAAGCCACGATTCTTCCACTAAGAGCTCACTCAATGGCACGTAGCAGCCTCCTTCAGCTGTAATTTTCCATCTCAAAATCAATCATAATGGTAAAACCCAAAAAGCTTTCTCATTGCCCAGATCGCAGATTCTCTTACAGAGACTGTAAATCAACTAAAGGAAGGGAAAGAAAAAACAAACCTTTCGCTTTTGTGACCTTCTCGGAGCAGACGGCGAGGTTACGCTTGGATTTGGCGACGAACTTGTTGAACTCGGCGCGAGCGACCTGTTCAGGTGTAAGGCCAGATGAGTCATCGGCGACGGAAGTGGTTACGGTTACACGAGGCGGCGAGTTTGCTGCAGAAACCAAACCACGGGATCCTCCGGCGACGGAGACGGCGGGGAAAGAGGAGGAAGAAGGGGAAGCTTTGAGGCGTTTGGCAGGTTGAAAAAAATCCATTAGGGTTTTAGATGACGAAGCCATTTCCGATTCAGAAGTATATCAGTAGTCACTACGAAGACGAGATCCCAATTTTTTACTTTCTTATCAAATTCATTTAATATTTCCGAGAAAAGTTTCAGAGAAGAGAAGAGATAAATGGCGGGAACAACGGTGGTACAGGCCCGGTTAAGGTATCTTTTCAAGCCGGTTCAAACCGGTTAAAAGACCAATCGCACACACAGTGTACTCCAGTTTCTACAGGATTCATTTCACCTTTTAAGGAACGAGTTTAGTAGTTCTGTAACTTCTGTTGAGAAAAACATAAGCAAAAGGGCTCAAAGACATATTCAACATATAGTCACAAAGAGATCACTGAAATTGGTTCTAAGTTTCTATAAAAAAATGACATAAAACGCAATCTTGGTCTATTATCAGACTGGACCATATCATTTATGTCGAAAATGAAGAAAAAAGAATTGGGACAAAATCTCTCTACTGGTATATCTACACAACTGAAAATAATGGGGACAACAAATCATCACCTGGTCTTCTAATCTTCCTCTAAAGATTAAGCAGGTAAGTATAAAGTTAACAACATTTTCCACTGCAGCTCTCAAGCTTTATGATGATGATGGAAAGAGATGAAACTGTATTAAGAAAACATGGGAGTCCAATTCAAATTATGTCTTCTTGATTTTGCTGATATATGCCTGGAGTTAAAAACAGACACAAAACAACAGTTAAGAACATCGTATGTTTGCAGTTTGATTAAGTTTAACAAAGCAAAAGAGTAATGTATATGAAGGAACCTGCACGAGCTTGGTAAGTTTTGGTTTTGCAGCGGATAGATAATGGTCAATCTTCTCCTGTGTTTGAGGAACGTTTCCACTTTGCATACTACCAGTCACTTTCTCAGCTACCTTCTTCACTATGTTTTTGTAACCATCTTTGTTCAGCTTACCTTCTTTCCAAGCTGGTTTTAGAAGCTCCTTTACTACCTCAACTAGCGCAAACTTAAACGCCCTCATTCCTTTCGGGTCTTTCTCTTTCTTGTTTTCTTCGTCGCTCCCATCACCATCTTCATCTTCATCCACGACATTCTCAGCATCATTAGTGTCTTCTCCAATTTTCTTACCCTCTACTTCCTTGCTAGCTTCATCAGTCTTTTTGTCCCTGTTTTCCTTGGGATTTAGCGATAGTTCCTGAATCCCATCGACATTGCTTACCTTTGATGCAGTAACCGCTGAGACTCCTTCAGCACCAGTGCTCATCCCTAGTCCCCATGACTGATTTGGATTACTTCTCACTGGATTACTTTGAGTAGCCTGATTTGGTTGAACAGCCACGGAAGATTCTGAATGCAGCGGCATCTTTAATGCCTGTTCAAGCTGTGGAATAGGCTGCCCATTTGCAAGAAACTGCGCTATAGTTGCTGAGATGTTGGTAATCTGATCGATTTGTTCCCTACTTACTGTATTTTGGACCAAAACAGGTTTCTCCACCATTGAGTGATGATTATCTTGATAAACTTTTCCACTCTCAAGATTGCTCAAGTTCGAGCCTACTGAGAAATTTGTAGCAGCAGCTACCACTTGTTGACTTCCTCCAGTAGTTAGTGAGCTTTGGTACGGCAATACATTATGATTTTGATTGAATGCTTGAACTGGAGCAACATTCACTGAATTACTGTAACTCTGATGTGAAGCAGCTATAGGTTTCTCAGCCATAGTTTTGTCACCATGTGAAAACATACCACTATTTCTTTGATCATAATTAGTCACCAGATCATCTTTAAGAACTCGAGATTGTGAACTCGGACCAATAATACCAACACCATGTTCTTCCTTCACAGGCTTCTTTAAAGCTTGGACTCCATAATTCCAATCAGGAGACATCTCCATGTCACCAATCCAGCTACTACCATTCCCTTTAGATTCAGAAACTCCCTTACTGGCGCGAGAATCTTCGATTCTACCTACTCTTCCGTTGTCCAATCTTTCAACATCATTCCATTTATTATGACCACTACTATGATTCTTTTTGTCCTGTCTATAAAAGTTGTTGTCTTGAGGCTGTTTTCTATCAGCAACATGATGAGAAAACCTGCAATAATTGCCATTACGACAGAACCCCGTCCCGGCAGCGAAAAACTTGCACGGAATATTCGAACTCCTGTGGAATCCTCCTTCACCATCACCACCCCTTCTTTGTGTTTCCTTCTCTCCCATAAATTCGCTTCTGTGCCTTCTCATTCTCGGATCTAAACCGCCATCATTTACATGCTCCCTTCTCGAATTATCCTCGGGATAATCAGTATTATAGTCAGAAGACCTCGCACCTTCCATCATCGCCTCTTCTCTGATATTTTCGGTGTGATATTTCGTCTCCCTTGGCTTTCTAATGTTATCTTCCCAACCATAATCACTTCTTTGATCAAACTGATGATCACTGCCTCTTTTATTGAACTCCCTTATTGGCGTAGGAGAAACTTGTGTTCTCGTCTTGTGTCTATCATAAGATCCCGCATCTCGTCTACCTCTATAGACTGGGCTTCTACTACGGCTTCTACTACTGCTATTACTTCTACTTCCACTCCTAGAAAAGAAAAAGAGAGACGTTACGTAAGAACTGAAGAGCAAATAAACAAGAACCTCTACTTTTTTAACCTATTTGTAACAACTCGAAACACTAACCTAGGGAAAAATTGTTGCCTAGTATCATCTTGTTCAGAAAAATAACTGTTATCGTTATTCTGTGAAACTCTGCTTCTAGTCCTAGCTTCACCATTACTCTCTGCATTGAACCGGATAGGCTCAGACTCGTTGTCGCGGTAATAAGAACCCGAGTTTGCATTAACGGTAGAATGATGATGGTGTGTATCTTCCTTAGAGTCCCACTTTGAAAGACGTTTTCTTCCCAAACCACTCATTTCCATCCCCACTAGTAAGCACCAAACATCAAAAGAAAATCTGCAGAGAAGAAGTTTATAAAATAGAGTAAAAAAATTATCAAACAAGTAAACGAAACTGTAATAACAAGATTAAAATCTCTTAAGTGGAAACATCTGCATACGAGAAAAAACAAAATTGGGTTCATAAGTATAGATCTCCAACAAAATAGAATCCAATTTCTCCAACCATTCATAGCAAATAGAATCCACGAAGAAAATCTTGTCTTGCAATTGAAAATATTGATCTTTGGGTTCATAAGTGAGGAAGCCCAATCATGGAAGTAGAAAAATAAGAAGAATAATTAAGCCGAAACTGAAATTGGTACCAATTCTCCCTGAGAATATAATCACAATGTCTCACAGAGCCCAAATAGAACCTAAAAAACATCAGACTAAATTGAACCTAATTAGAGCTTAATAGACAAAATTTCTCGAAGAAAAATAACCCTAAAATCAGAATTAGACAAGAAGATAAACAGAACTCACTCGAATTCGAATAGAGCACTTCATCAACAAACAAAGAGACAAAACCCTAACACCAAGCTTCTTCTTCGGTTCTAGGGTTTTGAAAGAAAGTAAGAAACTGCGCTCAAGTGTACGATACACAGAAAGAAGAACGACAACGATTTTTAACTCTGTTCTTCGAATTCCCAAGTTCTATGTTTTTTTTTTTGTAAAAGAAAAAAATCTACAATTCTTTCGCTAAGATTTTATTTTGCTTCTGTGTGGGTTAAACAGGTCCCACTAAGAAGGTAAGTACACTTCAGTTCAAATCTAACCGTTGATTAAAATCCTTTTAATCTCAGCCGTGATTACTTCTTAAACAAGCCGAACAACAACACTTTATTGTCCAGTAGGATCTTTTCTACTTTTTTCCATTTTTCATTTCATTGTATTTTTGCCTTTTTTCCTTTTTAATGCGACAGATGATTGGAGAGAGATGTTAAAGTAATTTAATTTTTAGCTTAAAGTAATTTCTGATTGTCTGTCTTTTTATTCGTCTTAAAACTTAAAGGATTGCCTAGGTTTTTTTTTGTTTTTTAATTTAGCATGCGAGAAATCGAATTTGGGGTGATCAAAACTAGCCAACGAACTCAAGCTGGCGAGTGTGAGGCTATACATATAGTCTATAAAAAAAAAAAAGAATTGAGCTGACAAAAGGGAAGAAAGAGTTATTACGCCGCCTTCGACAATCGTGAAACCAATTAATCAGATACTGTAATCAAATTCTCAGCAATAAGTATAGCAAACAAGAAAATCTTAGAATAACAAAAGAGGAAGTAATCTTCACATTTTACCAAAAAAAAAAAAAAAAAAAGAGGAAGTATAGGAAGAGAGTCACTAACATGGGAGACATTATTAGTCCTAATTCTCAGCAATAAGTATAACAAACGAAAAATTCTCAGGATAACAAAAGAGGAAGTATAGGAAAAGAGTCACTAACATGGGAGACATTCCTTGAGTCACATTACACTTAGCGATTAATCAGAAATAATCGAAAACTTAGAGATTGATAAAATGTCTCAAACTGATAATTGCACTAACCAAAACTTATAAATATATGCTTCTTAGTTATATATAGAACCCAAAAATTATGAAGCTATAAGAGAGATTGTGAGAGATCGTCTTAGGGAGAGACCTAGTATTGTTTCCGGATTGATCCGAATTGAAAACCCGGTGCTGCTGTTGGAAATTGAACAAGCTGATGCGAAAGACCATTAGCGTTACTGTTGTTGTTGTTGTTGTAGTCGTGCATGTTCATGCTCTGCAACCCGTTAGTTCCAGTTACAGTTCCTTCCACCCCAAGTAACCCTGCATAGTCTTGAACATTGAAGTTGTTGCGGCTGGACATGTTAGTGTTCTCAAACTCATTGTTTCCGTATTCGTGTACCCCAAGTAAGCTAGAGTAACTTTCCACTCTGGAATTTTGGTCAATCTGTTTTGCGAAATCATTAACGCTGTTGATGTTGTTGTAGGTTAACATGTTCATGGTCTGAAGCCCGTTGATCCCAGTTCCTTGTACCCCAAGTGACCCCGAGTAACTTCCCACATCCGAATTTGGGTAAATCATTAGTTCAGACGGAATCGGAGCCAGAGATTGCGCTTGGTTTGAAGCTAATGCAGAGACTGGGATTTGCGAGAAAGAACCGTTATCATGGTTCCACAGATACATGGAAACCTGGTTTGAATGTTGTTGAAGTTGGTTCATCGTATGAGCCATCATCAGTTCTTGACTAGCCATGTTCGTGTACTGCATCCTCCTCTGTCCCTGAGCTTCACCAACAGCGTGAGTCCTATGTTGGATTCTGGTTAGGTTTCGCTCCAAGGACTGAACAAGCCCAGTGAGTTGCTCCACAGAGTAATTATCAAACCTAGGGTCCCAAACTGGATACTTGACTCTGGATACACGTCTCACTTTAATCTTCTTCTTCTTCTCCTCCTCCTCCTTGGAATCATCCTTATTGATCCTCTCGAGGAACTCGTGAAGATCAACGCTTCCTTTGCGACGCTTCGTCTCGCTTAATTCACCGTACCTTCGAGCTATGGCTTTGACCTTCTCTCTGTCGTCAGGCCATGTCTTGAGCTTTCCGTCTGACATGTAACAGATGACGCAGACATCGATGTCACAGAGAATTGAAAGCTCTTCAGCTTTCTTAAAGACAGTCGCTTGTCTTTTAATTAAGCTTGTGGCTCTCGAAGAAGAAGAAGCAGAATTAGGTTTCTTGAAAAGGTTTTTTTTCTTCTTCGATGATGAAGACGAAAGAGAAGAGGACGAAGAAGAAGCCATGGTTATGTTATTTCTGTATTCTCTATGAATTGAATGATGAGGTGTTGATCAATGTTTGCGAATATATAAAACCTTAGTTCAAGAATTTCTATTTTTGGTCTCGCTTGGTAATTAATGACGAATCAATAATGATAGCGGTGAAGATTTCATTTCCTTTTTCTGATATATTTTTTCTCATTGAATCAATTTATATGTTAAACAAGAGTGTAGTTTTACTAAAAAGGAAAACTTTGTATTTTCGTTAAATATTATGGAAATCTTTAGTAGAGATTCTTTTCACAAGCTTAATTATGGAAATCTTTAGTAGAGATTCTTTTCATAAATATACATATATACGCATAGATTTATACTATATGTATACATGTTAACCCGCGGTACACCGCGGGCCTAAATATTATTTAATTTTTCTTAATTAGTAATTTAAATATTTTGATTAATTTGTATTGTTTGGCTATAAGTCTATAATCTGTAGTTTTGTATAAGGTATTTGAATTTTACTAACATTGTTGATTTAAATGAATATATATATATATATATATGTATATCTATATATATATATATTGTAAGATTAGTATATTTGAAGTTCATTTTTGAATATATAGAGATAGAGAAAATTATATAGTTCATTACGCACTGATATATAAGGTTCTCTCCTCTAGATTTTAACCCGTGGTATACCGCGGGTCGATTTTTTTAACTAAAAAGTTTAAATTTTAAGTTATAGTTGTTTTGTTAATATTGTTTGTTTTGATTAGTGTTTAAAATTGTATAATTGTATTTTGATTATTAATTTTAGGATTTTACTCGTGGTATACCGTCCCGTATTTATATCGAACCAAACCCGTTCCATAATACAACTCCGTCCCGTGAAATCAAACATCACTTTGTTATTTTTCTTTTTAATAATATTTTTATTTAAAAACATATTAATAAATTGGGAACATTATATAGATATTTTCTAATTGTATAATTAATGTTAAAAACTTTTAATTGTGTTTGGTTATATGGATACATGATATAAACAGTGACATTCTTTGTAAATAGTTTAGAAAACGAAGAATATTTTCTAAAATTTACTTCAAATATGTAAATATAGATGTTCTAACACAAGATAATATATATTGCATATTGTCAAAAACACATATCGTTATCAACTTAAAACATAAAATAATCTAATATAAATTTTTTGGTTTTTAAAACATATTATAGAATTCTAACTATACATATAAATTTTTAATAATAATATTATACCACATCTAATTATAATTTTTAAATAATTCAAAAAAAAAAAAACGTATTGAAGTTGGAATTGGTTTTTGATTTGTATTTACAATAGAAATGGGGAAAGTGGGAAGTGGCCCATGTAAATCACAAAGCGTAGCCCAACAAAAACCAAAACGATACGTTTGGCAATTGTCATGTCCCTTGTTATTTCGATACTGAAATTGAATCCCGATTCCGAGAGAGAGAGAGATAGCGGAAGACGATGCTTTGACGGTGGCGTAGAGTGCGTTGGAGGCGATTAGAGAGAAAGGTCTCGGCGGTTTCATGAGGATGATCCGAGAAGAAGGCTTCTTGTTAGTTCTCTGTCTCTCTTTTTTGATTCTCTCGTCCTCTTTCCTGCTTAATTTCTTCTCAAATATACTATCGATTTCATACGTTAGATCCCAAAAAATTCTAGGAATTTGCATAAGTTTTTGGTGTTTGTCGATGTTTGTTTGTAATGAATGGTTATCATTCTTCGGATTTTTTCACTAAATGTTAAATTTGTATAGGGCTCGAGTCTGGTCAACATCAATTTTAAACAGTGATAGTGATTCTTAAAATTGGCATAATGTTTCTGGTTACTTATAATTTTTAAATCTTATTGTTTTTATTAATCTCTAGTATAATCTATATTAGTAATTTTGATTTTTCATGGATGCTGGATTACGTATAATCTTGATATTGAAATAGACTAATCTATTGATTCTGTAATCCTATTTCGATTTCAAATACTAATTGCTAATGTTCTAGCATACAAAGTTAACACTTTTCTTTACCGTCTCTCATGTTATTCACTAATCATCGTTTAATTTTGAGAAGTGTGATCGTCATTGGTTTCAGAATTAAACTTCCCACAATTCATGAAATAATCATGTTTTTTTTTAGATTCAATAATCATCTCTCTTATAGAAGTTGTAGCTACTTTACAGAAATGTTGTAACATATATATTCATGTGTCTATATTTTACAAAAGTTAAACAATCTAATTGATTTATCAACTAATCATTTAATATCAGATTATCTATAGAAGATAAAAGGATTCAAGCTTTATACAACAATAATCTTATTTCCTTCTTTGAGCGGCTGTTTAGGTAAAGCTCACTATTTTCTATCATTTCTGTCTATTTTTCTGCTCTTCCTTAACTCTCCTCTTATCTTCTCTTGAATGCCTTCACTTAGCCACTTGATGTTGCATTCTTCTTTCCCCAGCTCGAGCCCCAGACTCGAGCCCTTCTTCCACTGGTTCTAGCCTTCTTCTTCATGAATACCAAAGGAACCCTCAGCTTATCAGTCTCGTGACCAACACAAAGATAAGAAATTGTTTTCTTTATAACATGTACCTTAAAAGATTCTTAATCTATGTAACTAACGTTTGTTTTGCTTCATAGGTGAAGCTTAATTTTTTATTATGAAAGTGGAAGTAAATGATTAGTGAAGAGTCGTGTCATCTGTCCTCACAAGCAATAGAGACAAAGGTTAGTAACAAAATTTCATTTCCAAGAGTTGTAGTTACAGTAAAACCTCTATAAATTAATAATGTTGGGACCATGAAATTTTATTAATTTAGAGAGGTATTAATTTATCGAATTATTAATTTATAGAGAGATTTAACTAATTTTGTAATTTCTTAAAAAATTTCTATCTAAAAATAAATTTTTTCTTTATAAGCAATATCTTTTGAAAACTAATTACAAGTAGAAAAGTAATTCTTAAGTTTACAAAACAACACAAACTTTTTTCGAATAATAGAGTCATATTTTATTAAATTTTTACCTAGAATATTTTAAATATATATCATAGTAATTCATATATGACATATATAAATTTATATCATATATATATATATATTAAGTTAAATA